CTGTAAAGGACTTTAGAGTTAGTTCGTTGCAAGGTGTCTTTTCGACGGACCTGTTGTAGTGGATAAATGTGTTGAACTTTGTTATAATTAACGTTTTGTAAATGTTTGTTTTGTGAACTTTGTAACTGTACATACGTTTATTTTCAATATATATATAAGTTTGAATTTAATCGGCGTATGTGTGTGTTTTGAACATTACTCTAATGAACAACATTTTTAGTATAAATCATACTTATACTCTTAATTACTTAGTTTTTAAGTACAGTATATTAAAAAGACTCGTCTTTATTTTTATTGTGAGTTCTATGCTCTCAAAAAGGGCGGTGTAATTGTCTGGGCTTAAAACATGTTTTATTTTATTTTTGGATAATTTTTCAGTTTTATTTCATACAAATTACTTAAAGAATTTTTAAATTTATGTACAGTATTTTAAAATTAAAGTGTTAAAATTGCAGCAGCTCATTTTCCAAATCGATTAATTCTACAAAACAAAATGTAGAGAAATTGAAAAACAATTTATTTTAAAATGTAAATAAATATTGTAGAATGTATTATTACAAGCGTAGTTTATATCTAATGACATAAAATAATAATGATTATTCCAAGGATATAATATTTTTACATTTTGCACATAACTAAGAGAGTTAATTGATTTGGCATGTAAACGGCTCACTTGTATTTTGTCAATATTATGTATTCGTTAATATCTAATATATGTTATTTCATTAAATTATATATTATTAAATGTATCGATAAAAAATATTTAATTGATTTTAAATAACTGAGATTTTTTTATTAATTTAAATGTTTATATCAGTGAATTGTTATTTTTATTGATTTTCTTTTTAAATTTTTAAATATCTGAATTTTGTTATCTACATTCTTTATCATTTATAATAAAATATTCACTATCCCAAAATATATTTATGGAGTAAAACGGGAAATTCTGTCAACTACCTTTTAAGCGCTTGACAAGGAAAGTGATTTTTGTCAGATGGGTGTGACGTATCTCCACCTATTGACACACATTACGAAATAAGCACATCGTCTAGATGACTAAGGGTACTTTATGTCAATAATAAATTGGTGCTATTGCCCTATTATTGAAGCAAGTAATATTAATGTTTACGTGAGGTGCGCATTATATACTCAACTATTTATTCATATTTATTATATTATGTGCAATATTATTCGTTATTTTTCGTTTATATACATTAATGAAGCAACACTTAATTTTTAAAAGTTTTATAAAAATATTCCAAGAGTATTATAAATGTATATTATGAAATAACAATACGCTAATATTTTAAATGCTCTGTTTCTTTATTCAAAAATATTTAAATGAAAATCTCTTATCGGTTGAATTTTTTCAGAATAAAACATTTAAATTGAAAGTAAAATATTGTAAAAACAGGATTCATCATCATTAATTTTAAGACAAGAATTTTGTACACTAAAAAACTATAAGTATGCACTTTGGATAGTTCCTTAATTACAAAACTCATTAACTTACAGCAGACATTTTCTTGTAGGCCATTACTAGAGCCTGGAGTTTATCCAAACTGTAAACTAGTATTTTATAATTAAAATGCCTCAATGTCCTTTTTTCTTACTAAAATATAAATTTTCGTCTATGATAACGTATCTTCTATTACCCGGACTTATTATACTGGCACTACAGAAATATTACAGTTTTACAGAAAAACATTTTTTATTTTACTTAATATACCTGGACACATACATAGTTTTGCATTTCGGACATTCTTGTCCCTCCTCAGCAGGTACATTATAGGAAGATTATAGTAATACTGCTATTGTCGATCAAATTTGAATGTCCAGCTGTGGTAAAAATAAATGAAAACCTTAAAATTGTAAGATTTTTTATTAAGAATTTTATTAAATTTTTTGTCGGAAATTTTAATTGTAATTTTAAATACTTATTTTATTGTTATAGAATATACAAAAGTACCTGCTGAGGAGGGACAAGAATGTCCGAAACACAAAACTATGTATGTGTCCAGGTATATTAAGTAAAATAAAAAATGTTTTTCTGTAAAACTTTGTAATATTTCTGTAGTGCCAGTATAATAAGTCCTGGTAATAGAAGATACATTATTATAGACGAAAATTTATATTTTAAGAACATGGTTGTAATAAATAAAATGTCATTAAATTGCAAATTATCTAAAAACATTCAAATGTTGTTTTTGCAGTACAGATTGAAGCATACTCTTATTAAAAGGTCAAGAAAAGGGCTTCCAATTGTTTCATTCAAATGAAAGGAAATGATTTTCAAGCACTTTGATAAACAGTATCATTCATTTTGCCACTGACAAAGGCAACATTAGTTTTACCTAAAAATCCAAATCCTGCTCAAACCATAACACTTTCACCTCCTTGTTGCCTCTTACAATACATTTGTTCTTCTCTTCCTAGATCATGCCAGTCATCTGCACCATCCAAATTAATTAAACTTTTTTTCATCACTAAACACAACCTACTTCTATTTGGTGGTATAGAACATTGTTTCTTTGACCCATTTCAATCTGATAGTCTTGTGTGTAACAGACAGAGATGTTGGGATGCTGGCTCTCTCTCTTCTTATACAGTAGTCAGTCTGTAAAATTTCTAAAAAAGTTAACTTGTTTACAGGAATATCTGAACAAGACGACAAATATCTCAAACTTGTACAATTGTTAGAAATTTTCTCAATAATTCTAGCTTGCTAATAAATTTGATGGTTTCCTGTTGTTTCTGGTGCTAAAT